AGTGTGACTTAGAACTCTGTTCACCTGACCCTGCACAGTGGCTGCAGGATTTGATGAAGCATTTGACTTAGTCCTAAAGACCTACAGAGAGCTCAACTCGTAGCTCAATGGTAAAACACTTGACCAGCATGCTTGAGGTCCTAGGTTCAATCCCCAGTATTAGAAGAGGAAAAAAAGTCCTTCAGCCATTGAGTGAGGGTGTATCACCCTGAAGAGATTATGTTTAGGGAAGATGACTTATATGCAACAAAGCAAATAGCATCAGTTTTTCTCCAAAGCCTTACATTTATTGCTTTCATTTTGTCTTTCTCATACTAATAGGTAGAACAAGAATATCGATGACGATAGGAACAGTGATAGATTATCAATAAAATGGTGTGACTTGAGGTCCTAGAAACACTCACAGAAATGTAATTTTTAGGTTTTTAAAGGCTTATTTTTTGTGCACGAATGTTTTGTCTATATATATGTATATATACATGTACCCCATGTATGCCTGGTGCCCTCAGAAGGCATCAGTATCCTGGAACTATTGATGGTTATGAGCTCCCATGTGGGTGCTGGGAACTGAACCCAGGTCTTCTGCAAGAGCCATCTTTCTAGCCCCAGAATATAACTTTTAAAAAGATTTATTTTTTTAAATTGTGTCTGTGTATGAGTATATGCACATGTCACAGGTATCCATGGAGGCCAGGAGAGGACATTGTACCCCCTGGAGCTGGAGTTGCAGGTAGGAGCTAGGAACCAAACTCTGGTCCCTCTGCAAAAGCAGAACATGCTCTTAACTGCATCTTTCCAGTCCCCAAATCTAATCTTTATAACCTATTTTACACTAATGTTCCACCAACTTTATTATGCCGATTTTTGTTTCTCATTACTACTTTGGGGGGAAAAAAAGAGTAGAATTCTACCTGCCAATGATTGATAAGAAGCAATGGAAGATACAGGAATCATGGTAGACTTCAGAACCCTGATCGTGGCAGTTCTGAATAGTCTTGGAAAATTTAGTCTGAACTAGAAATTCAAATAAAGTACACATTTGCTTCTGGTATTTTTGTAGCCATTTTGCTCATTTCAAACAAATTTGGTTAAGATATTAAAATGTTCTCCAAATTGGGAAGCAGAATTTGTTTTTAATTCTAGAGGAGAAAGAATTCGCCTTTTCCTTATATCCTGAGGTAGCTTGGCATTCAGCCTTGATGGATTAGTTTTGTCCCAAGGCTGGTGCCTTGGAGGTTTCCCACTCATTTAATGTTTCTATGAAGAAATCATTCACCAGAAGCCGGCCAGGGCTAAGCCCCGATCAGGCACAGACTGAGATTGCAACAATTCCAGTAATCAGGAACAGAACCTCCATGCCGGGAATGGAACCCAGTGTCTCCTGATGCCAGGCAAGGGGTACAGCACTGAGCCGTAGCCCCCCTCTATATTGTTTGTTGCCTTAATGAAACCAAGTTAGCTTTAAGTAGCTGCTAGGTTACCATGTGTGATATCCATGCATATGTCTCTTTTCAGTTTTAACTGCATTTAGAATGTCAGGAAATTCTGAAGTGATTAACAATGTTGACTCCAAAAAAAAAAAAAAAAAAAAAAAAAAAAAACAACAAAAAACCTCATTGTGTGTTTTTAGCAAGATAGCCAACATCTGTCAAGTAATGGCTGATACCATATGCATTTCATTGTGACATAAATTTCTAAAGGCTCGTACAAAGGCCTAGTGGCACTTTTCTTTAAAATCTGTTTTCACACTCCGGGCATTGGTGGCACACGCCTTTAATCCCAGCACTCGGAAGGCAGAGGCAGGGGGATCTCTGTGAGTTCGAGACCAGCCTGGTCTCCAGAGCTAGTGCCAGGAGAGGCTCCAAAGCTACACAGAGAAACCCTGTCTCAAAAAAAATCTGTTTTCACACTAGAGGCATGGTAGCCCATGTCTTTAATCCCAGACCTTGGCAGACAGAGGCTGGTGGATCTCCACGAGTTCTAGGCCAGCCTAGTTACATAGAGAGTGAGTGCCAGACCAGTTCTAGGCAGGCAGAGCTCCTTCAGGGACACGAGGAGGGAAGAACATCAGCCTACTTTCTCGATACATATGTGCAGCACCGACAATCAAAACCATGGCCTTGATAGTGCTAAGCCCACACTCTATACTGGGCTACAGCCCTGGCCTCCAGTCATGATAATTATTACTGTTATTACTGTTTCAAGATTCTTCCTCCAATATGACAAAGAATAAGATAAAAATAGAGCATAGGAAACAGCCCTTGGCTTGACTTAGAATGTTATACATTCATTTCCTGTTTTTCTACCTTCAACTTGGGGTAACTTTCTTTTGATATAGCTTCAAAAACAAATGATAAAAATGGGCTTAGGCGTGGTAGCTCATGTCTATAATCAAGAACCTGAGACAGGAGAATTGCCGTGAGTTTGAAGTCAGCTTGGGATACATAGAGAGTTCCAGGCCTGCCTGGGTTAATACTATCTCTGAAAAAAATTTTAAAAAAATAAAATAAAAAACCACATCTTAGGTGGACATGGTGGCACATGCCTTTAATCTCAGCACCCGGGAGGCAGAGGCAGGTGGATCTCTGTGAGTTTCAGGCCAGCCTGGTCTACAGAGTGAGTTCTAGGACAACCAGGGCTACACAAAGAAAGAAACTCTGCCTCAGAAACCCGAAAGAGATTGCCCAGGGGTTAAGAGCCCTGACTGCTCTTCCAGAGGACCTGGGTTTAATTCCCAGCACCCACATAGTAGCTCACAACTGTCTATAACTCCAGTTTCAGGGGACCCAACATTTATGGTAAAAACAACAATGCACATTTTTTAAAAAAAAGACAAAAACCAACACATCTTTACATGCAGATACCAGACTGCCTTTTAACTTTAACATTCTTTCTCCAAACTATTAAAAAGTAAAATATAGTACATATACTCCCAAATCAGCATGTGAGAGCAAGATCGATTTCTTACACAGTAACAAAACCCACCCATTTAACAATGATAAAATACTATTGCCTATTTTAGCCCCTATTCAAATTTTGTTAATTATCCCAACAGTGGCCACACAATGATTTTTCCTTCAGAATTACTTATTTATTGTGGCACTAAGGATTGAACCCAGGACCTCATACATACTAGCTCTACCACTGCTCTGTTTCCCAGCCTCCTTTTTACCTGTGTTTTGAGACAAAGAGAGACATGGTGTCATTAAGTTGCCCCTCCTGGCTGTAAATACTTGCTTTAGCCTAGGCAGACCTTGAGCTTTGGATCCCCTTGCCTCTCCCTGAAGAAAGCCATAGTGAGACACACCCTCCTGGGGACCCCCCTCAGACCAGAAAGTTCTGACACAGCAACTAAAAGAATCAGCTAAAAATTGTCAGACCTGTGGGCAGCCAAGGGGCAGCTCAGAATCTCTCAGGCGCATGATATATTTTCAGCACTTCCCATTCTGTGCTGTGAGATTCAGCCCTCGTTTCCCCATTGCTTTGATGCCCCGTCCTTCATGGCTTAGGAGCAATTGTGTGACATGCACCATGGTACTGTCACATGGGGGACCCAGAGAAGCAGGAAACCAAATTGAGAACTAAGAACTAAAGGCTCCCGAGTGGGCAGTACTAGAACTCAGACCCAAGTATAAAGAGTGGCTGAGAAAAATGAGTCTACAGGGAGAGACTGGGAGTGAATAAGGGTGCATCGGGGTGCACTGCAAATGGTGAGTTCTGGTGCTTAGGAAGCCTTCGTTGTCAGTATCAAGCAGAGTTGAAGCCAAAAGAGAATGGCAGCTGCCTGGGAGACTAAACTCTGGAAGGAGTGGAGTGGAGGAAATAAGGTAGGTGAGCCCACTGTGCAGGGAGTGGGTAGGAAGAGTGGCAGGTGGATGAAGGCAAGGTGGAACTCGTGTGCCGAGGAAGAGGGCACGTGGTGGCCATCCAATACAAAAAGACTCGTGTGCACAGGAAGAGGAACAGGTGGAGAAGTGGATAGCTTAGTACATAGTAGGATGAGGCCCTGTTGGGGAGTGTGACTGGTGTCCCCCAGTGTCTGGCAATAGGTGCCCAGAATATTGGCAGAAACAAGTATAGATGCTATTTTTTAAGATTGTCTTGAGTGGTGTAGAATAATGGGAAACTCTACTATTTTTATCCCATAGTTAACATTAACCAGTAGGAAATGTATCCTATGTAAGAGAATCTGTACCCTTGTGTCCTTTGAAATGAAAGGGCAACTCAAAAGTGGCAGTCCTAATAATCATGATCACTCAGAGTGTCTGTCACTCGGGTCTTCTTCAGGTCCACATCACCATCTTGAAATAAGTCATCTCCAAAGGGATGATGCATGCATGAGTGTGGTGTGGTTCCCTGAGGAGCCAGGCACAGGTACATTCTGCCCCAGTATTTTACAGAGGGACAGTGTCAGCTCTGAGCCTCTGACTTGACGTGCACAATGCCCAAAAGGTGAGAAGTGTGTCCTCTGGGTTGTCTTCCAGCTTTCGTTGTGTGCTCCTCACACTTGCAGTGCATGTGGGAACTTGGGGACCTAAGCAACTTTATTTATTCTGCTCAGAAAAAAAACCCACACTGGGTAAGAAAGGCAGAGCCTCACAGACAGCGTTTAAGGGTGCAGATGGCGAACAGACCGTGTGGGTGTGATTCTGCTGGGCCACTTCCAGTGTTTTCCACCTAAAACCCAAAACAAATATGGGAAGGCCACTCTGCTTCCCACTTACCCTCTCTCTGCTTGTAAACCAAAGTACATATTGATGCCATCATGTCACATTATCCTTTTCTTTCCTTTTCACTAGGAAGCGCTGGCTTTTTTGCTTCTTCATATTTCATTGCCCCATGAAATCTGCTAAGCAAACTAGATTTATAGATAGAAAATTCATTTGTGAGAGCTGGAGCTGACTTAAATGCTGATTGATCTTTCCTGGATAAAGTCATTTTGCTTGATGAATTGCTGTCTTGAGAAATAGATTGACTGTAAAATGATAAGGCCTTCAATTTTTTTCTCTGTTGTTTCCTTTTTTTTTTTAAGCCTTAAGTGTCTGGCAGATATCCTAGAACTTTACCCACAGAGATGCTACGAGACACCATGAAATCTTGGAATGACAGCCAGTCAGATCTCTGTAGCAGTGACCAGGAGGAGGAGGAGGAGATGGTCTTCGGTGAAAATGAAGACGAATTAGAAGAGATGATGGATCTAAGTGACCTGCCCACCTCACTTTTTGCTTGCAGTGTCCATGAAGCAGTGTTTGAAGTCCAAGAGCAGAAGGTGGGTCTGCACTCTTACTGTGGGAAGCATAGATAGCTTTGGGTAAACAGGTCCAAGGGCCTAAGACATGAAATACACAGAGTGTGGGCCACACTGGACCCCGCCCCTCACTGTGTCTTAGGAGAGGCTCCGTCCGCACTGACAGGTGTGCTTCAGAGTCAACCCTCCCACACTCCTCTAGAGAAGCATTGTCTTTAGTGAACTTTCAATCGAGGCTCATTAAATGTGCTTTTATTTACTTATTCATTAAGTTTTAGAGACTGTAATTGAAGAAAAGCTTTTTTGTTGTTTTTTTTTTGTTTGTTTGTTTGTTTTGAGACAGGGTTTCTCTGTGGCTTTGGAGGCTGTCCTGGAACTAGCTCTTGCAGACCAGGCTAGTCTTGAACTCACAGAAATCCACCTACCTCTGCCTCCCGAGTGCTGGGATTAAAGGCGTGCGCCACCAACGGCCGGGTTTGAAGAAGAGCTTTTTTTAATGTTTTAGTCAAAGATAGTAAATATATATAATATGATTCATTATAAATTTTATTTGTGTACATAATGTTTCTGCTATATACACCCTGTCATCCTCTTTGGTACCTTTCACACCTTCACTAATTCCTCCTTTACCCAGCACGCTACTGTTGTTTGAGACAAGGAAGGCCTGGGATTGGCTGTGTGGCTCAGGCTGGCCTGTAATTGGCTATGTGGCTCAGGCTGGCCTACCATTTGCCGTGTGACTTAGACTGGCCTGAAATTAGCTGTGTGGTTCAGGCTGGCCTACCATTTGCTGTGTGACTTAGACTGGCCTGGATTGGCTGTGTGGCTCAGGCTGACCCTGTGTGCCTCAGGCTGGCCTGGAACTTTCAGAGATCCTCCCAGCTCTAACTCCTGAATGCTGAGGTATGTCACAGGGATATCTCACCGCACCCAGCCTCCAAGCACCTGATTTTTTTGCTTGGCTTCTTTGTGCATTCACTTAAGAAGGAATTCAGCTTTTTCCTGTGGCTTATTACATGTGGACTATTAGGACTAATTATTAGCTCGTTGTTAACATTTCTGGTATTATTTCTATGGTTTGGAAGGAAAAATAAGATTTTTTTAAGTTATTGATTTACAACTGTGTGTGTGTGTGTGTGTGGTGTGTGTGTGTGTGTGTGTGTGTGTGTGTGTGTGTGTGTGTGTGTGTCTGTATCATCGTGATCTCTTAAAAGCCTACATACCTTTTTTTCTTTCATTGAGGCATAGTCTCACTGTGTAATCTAGGCTGCCACCTGGGCAGTCCTCTTCAGCCCCAAGCACTGGTAATACAGGTAGAAACCACCATTCCTGACTTGGTCCTTAAATGTTAGTATATACACTAAGAATTTTCCTTTCGGTGAGACCCATTCTCACTCTGTAGCCCAGACTGGACTTCCTTCAGTGTCTTTCAGGGGCAGAGCTGGATACATGCTCAAACACCTGCAGCAAAGGCTACATGCCGGTTAGGTTCAGGGATAGAGTGTGAGCTGTGCAGCCTCTGTGTCATAGTGTACCGTCTTGTAGTGGGGCTGATGGGTCACTGAAAGAATTGAGTTAGTCTCTCTAGGAACATTGGAAGTCCATTGAGGTTTCAGCAGACAAGTTCACACAGCCAGGTTCAATAGGTCTCTCAGAAGGACATGTGGCATTGGGGAGGAGCTGTGAGAGTTAGAATTTTAGCAGAGAAAACAAAGGATGTTTTAGCCAGGGGAAACCAGATATCCTAAGCAACCTAATTAGGACAAAGTATGGCAGGAGAGAGAGTAACAAGCATTCTGTATGGTTGACACACAGGCGATAAGTGCCCATGTCAAGAACACTTGACCCGGAGGTGGATGTTGGGCACCCTGGCGCCAAGCGGAAGAGCTGGCCCTTCTGCAGGATGAAGTCCCGAGGACTTCTGAGCAAAGGGTGGCAGTCCAAACTGTACTGGGCATGAGTGTGGTAGGGAGGTTCAGGGTCCTGCTGAAGATGAGAGCTACGTACAGCAGGGGCCGGTGGAACATGGCCATTCACAGAGGGTTTCTTTGCAGGTCATTTTATTTCACAAATACTGTTTCTTTGCCCAGTTGTTATCGTAAGAAAGCACAGGTATTACCTCTGTATCTGTCAGTGCATGTAGCATCCCTGAGTTCAAACAGTCGATGATGGAAAATGTTCTGTTAAGAAATTGTATCTAGCCGGGCGTTGGTGGCACAGGCCTTTAATCCCAGCACTCAGGAGGCAGAGGCAGGAGGGTCTCTGTGAGTTGGAGACCAGCCTGGTCTACACAGCAAGTTCCAGGCCAGCCACAAGGGCTGCATAGTGAGACCCTGTCTCAGGAAGAAAAAGGAAAAAATAATAAGTTGTTTCTTTGCTGAATATTTACAGATCTCTGTCATTCTTAAGCAATGTGGTATAAAAACTGCTTACAATGTATTCCGTGTAGATCATCTAGAGGTCATTTAGTGTATCTGGAGAAGGGTGCTGGTTCTTGGCAAATACTGCCCTGTTTATACCCGGCACTTACTGTACAAGCATTTTGGTATCTGAGAGGACCACTTTATCTTAAAATTACATTTTTAAGATAATTTTATCTTAAAATTACAAATTCTTGGGGGGCAGTAAAATGGTTCACTGGAGACAGGGGCTTGCCACTCAGTGATGCTGTTCTAACTCTAATGCTTTTATTGTCTTTATAGTCAAAACACTATTAAAACTTGTCTAATATTTGAATCTTTCTTTATTTTAGTTATTTATTTATTTTGGATTTTCAAGACAATGTTTTTCTGTGTAATAGCCTTGGCTGTCCTGGAACTCGTTCTGTAGACCAGGCTGACGTCAAATTCGCAGAAATCTGCCTCTGCCTCCCAAGTGCTAGGATTAAAGGTGTGTGCCACCACTGCCTGGCTTAATATTTGAACATTTTAAAGGCCAGTCTAAAGATATTATAATTCCAGCATTCAGGAGGCAGAGGCAAGTGGATCTGCCAGGATAACACAGTGAGAGACACTCTCAGAACAAGACAGTGAGTGGTAAATCGGCTTTATTTACATGAACTCATCATATGTACAGGTGCTGTTTCTGAGAAATTTCTATAGTATAAGGATGCAGAGAAGTTATAAACAAAAGTTAGGAAGCTGCTAGACCTAGTGGCACCCTGTAACCAGCTCTCCCAGAACTAGAGGAGGAGGAACAGGAATTCAATGCTGTCTTCAGCTACTAGCAAGTTAGAGGCTGACCTGGACTGCATGAGAGCCTAATGTCATAAAATAAAAATAAAGAACAAAAGGTAGGAGAGGTTTCTCTGTGTTTTATTGTGTGTACATGCTAAGGGAGGTGTTTGGGTTCTAAGAGGACAAAGTTGTAGGAGATCTCACCCAGTGTGTCAGACTTACGCAGCAAACAAATGCCTAGCACTATGAAGAAAGCAGGGGAAGGACTGCCCCAAATGCCAGATATGTTCCTCTGGTGGAGGAACAGCACAGCTGCCTTCCTTGGTGACTCTGTGACAGCAGCATTCCTGTTCTATATGGAGATGTGCGCTATGTTTTATACATCATATTATTGTATGACCTCTGAGTCTGCAGTATTTAACAAAGCCAGTTGATGGGGGAGGTCCTTCTGTGTATATGTTTGTCTTATTGGTTGATAAAGTACTGTTGACCAGAAGGAAAGCAAAATAGGTGGAGTCAAGGAGGATTCTGGGAAATGTAGTAAGAGATCCAGGCAGGAAGTGACATAGCAGGCAGACTCAGAATATAAGCAGGGACAAGAAGGAAATTGTCCTCTTGCTCTTCCTCTTCTTCCTGTTCTCTCTTCTCTACAGAGCCGCCATGTGATCCCAGGAATAGGATGCCAGCAGAAGGCATCCTCGATAAGATAAGTCTTATAAAATATATAGATTTATGATAATTCAGACTGAGCTAGCATATAAGAAATCCTAGTCAATTGGCCAGCAGTATTGTAAACTAATATAAGACTCTATGTGTTATTCTGGCACCTGCATCGCAGCGGGGCTCGGGCAGCTGGAATAAAGATTTATCATTACAGCCAGCCATTTTCAGTCAGTGCAGACTGCAGATATGAGCCTGAGTCACACACTCTCCACCCTGAATACCTTCAAGAAAGGCAACTCTTTTTTTTTATTGTTTGAAAGGCAACTCTTTATGGAGGAAAAGTACTGCACTGCATAGGGCGTTTCACTCAGTCACTTCTCTTTAGCAGGCTTCCTGTTAATAGAGTAATTAGTTCTTTGTTCCCACTTCTCTCTGCCTTGCTGTTCTCCTTACAGGAGAGGTTTGAAGCTCTGTTCACCCTCTATGATGACCAGGTCACGTTCCAGTTGTTCAAGAGCTTTCGAAGAGTGAGGATCAACTTCAGCAAGCCCGAGGCTGCAGCGAGAGCTCGGATAGAGCTCCATGAGAGTGACTTCCACGGCCAGAAACTGAAGCTTTACTTTGCACAGGTACAGTGTGCGATGTGGCCGCAGGTCCCCACAGTTACTTCACACAGGTACAGTGTGTTCCGTGGTCACTGGTCCCCACAGCTGCTTCTCCATCACAGCTCTTCACAGCTCTCCTAGTGTTGGGTTGGACATTTGTGAAATCAATATTTCCAAGAGCAGACGATGTCATGTTTTCTCTTACTTTATACATACACAATTTCATTTATCTTAGGAGCATATTAAGCCTCTGTCTTTGTTTTGCTGAGACTAATAGTTAAGGGATTCATTTTTCTGACAGATTTGCTCAGGGCTCTGCAAAGGTTAAGCCCTGACACTTCAAGGGTAGTGGAGTAAATGTTCTCTGCATCTAAAATGGCACTTAGGATGTGACATTCGTGGGAAAATAGAGAAAAAAATCTTTAAGGACCATCAAGATGGCTCAGTGGGCAAGAGGTGCTTGCCACTAACTTGATGACTTGACGACCTGAGTTTGATCTCTGCCACCTGTACCTACATGGTGAAAGGAAAGAGCCGACCTGTGTCTTCTGACCACTACACAAGCAGTTTTGTCTCTTCTAAGACTGGAACTCAGTAGTGTGTTAGTCAGCTGTTCCCACTGAATCAGTTAAGGTTACTGTGAAGAAATACCATGGCCAAAAGCAACTTGGAGACAAAAGGTTTATTTGGTTTACATATCTTGAATCTTGAATTCCACTGAGATAAGTCAAGGCAAGGACTCAACCTTGGCAGGAACCTGAAGGCAGGAGCTGATACAGAGGCCATGGAGGGGTGCTGCTAATTGGTTTGCTCTTTGTGGCTTGTTTGGCCTACATTCTTATAGAACCCAGGACCACTAGCCCAGGGTGGTACCACACATGGTGGTCTGGGCCCTCCCACATCAATCACTAACTAAGAAAGCATTCTACAGGCGTGCCTGCATCTGATCTTACAGAGGTGTTTTCTCAGTTGAGGCTCCCTTCTCTCAGTGATGAAAGCTTGTGTCAAGTGACATAAAACTAGCCAGCACACCCACTGTAACAAATGCCTGAGGTGATCAGCTGTAAAGAGAAAAGTCTTGGCTCATGGTTTAGAGGATCCATCCATATAGGATCTTCCCTTCTTTTGGGCCTGCAGAGGGGCAGCACATGAAGGCAGAGCAAAACTGTTCACCTCATTCATGGGAAACAGGAAGAGTAAGAGACTGGGGTCCCACTGTGCCTTAGGGTATGCTCCCAGTGACTAACGACCTCCCTGTCTCCTAAGGCTCCCACTTTCACCCTTTCACCCCTCGGGAGCAAGACTGCTCTACATAGACCCTAAGGGGCACTTAGAGCTCAGGTCCCAGCCACAGTTACTGCAGAGCGCTTCTTTGTCCATCTGTTTATACATTTATTCTTTCACTCAACTCATCTTGAGCGAGGATCCAGTGTGTTTGCCCCGTGCTGTGAGCCAGGTGGACCTCGTTCACCTCCTGGAAGATACAAACGTCTCAGAGACACCCCTCTACGAAAGTAACAGTTGCCATAAAGATGAAATGAAGGTGCACTTGCAAAGTGCTCATGGCCATGTCCTCCTTGCAGGTTCAGGTGTCCGGGGAGGCTCGGGACAAGTCCTACTTACTGCCACCACAGCCCACCAAGCAGTTCCTCATCTCTCCTCCAGCCTCCCCTCCAGTCGGGTGGAAGCAGAGTGAAGACGCAATGCCTGTGATCAACTATGACTTACTCTGTGCTGTCTCCAAGCTTGGGCCAGGTAACTGGTTCTGCTTTTGCTCTTACTGTCCCCAAGAGCTTTGTGTATTGGAGACAGTGTCCAATAGTGGGTGTGGAGCCCGGCAACAGTGGCACTGTCCAGTAGACACTGCAGTCACACCAGACTGGGCCCACACTCTTAACTGCGTTTTCCAAAGCCGTGGTCCTCAGCCAGTTGCTGAGCATAGGTGTCGGGGTTAGCTAACATGTGCAGCATGATAATTTTCACAGGAAGGAGTGACTACAGGGGGTTAGCAAACATACTTGCTGTTCTCTCTGTACAGCCCAGTGCAGATGGAAGCTGTGTTATTTAGTGATGGTACCCTGCTACCCCTTCCAAAGTTTCTCTTCCTTTTTTTTTCTTTTTCATCTCTTGCTTTCCTTCTTTACTTGCTATCTCTCTCATCATTTTAATAATATGAGGAGCTGATTGCCCACTGTTGAGGACAGTGTGTCTCTTTAGGGGACTTCAGAAACATTTGAGAAACAGCTTTACACTTGTGGACATTTGAACTTTGTCAGACATCAGGTCCTATGCTAGAAACTGCTGCCTGGAACCTAGCCGGTGCCTCCCATGGGACTCCAAACCTTTATGAATGTAGCTAACCCACCTCAGTTTTTTGTTGAACAACAATTAGCATTTATATTAGCATTTTTTAAAATTTTTTATTTAAATTAGAAACAAGATTGTTTTACATGTCAATCCCCATTCCCTTTCCCTCCCCTCCTCCCCTACTCCCACTAACACACTACCTATCCAAAGCCATTTCTGCTCCCCAGGGAGAGTGAGGCCTTCCATGGGGGATCTCCAGAGTCTGTCATATCCTTTGGGATAGGGCCTAGGCCCTCCCCCATGTGTCTAGGCTGAGGGAGTAACCCTCTATGTGAAATGGGTTACTCCCAAAATCCACTCCTACACTAGGGATAAGTACTGATCTAATACAAGAGGCCCATATATTTCTGAGGCCCCCTCACTGACACCCACATTCATGACGTCTAGATCAGTTCCATGCTGGCTTCCCAGTGATCAGTCTGGGTGCCAAGAGCTCCCTCTTGTTCAGGTCTGCTGTTTCTGTGGGTTTCACCAGTGTGGTCTTGACCCCTTTGCTCATCACACCTCCTCCTCTGCAACTGGATTCCAGTTCAGTTCAGTTCAGTTTTTAGCTGTAGGTATCTGCTTCTACTTTCATCAGCTGCTGGATGAAGGCTCTAGGATGGTATATAAGTTAGTCGTCAATCTCGTTATCAGGGGAGAGTATTTAAGGTAACCTCTCCACTGTTGCTTAGATGGTTAGTTGGTATCATCCTTATGGATCTCTGGACATTTCCCTAGTGCCTGATTTCACTTTAAACCTATACTGGCTCCCTCTTTGATGGTACCTCTTATTTTGCTCTCCTCTATTCTTCCCCCTACACAGCCTTCCTGCTCCCTTATGTCCTCCTCACCCCTCCTCTTCTCCCCTTCTCATTCTCCTAACTCCCTCTCCCCTCCCCCCATGCTCCCAATTTGCTCAGGAGATCTTGCCCCTTTCCCCTTCTCTGAGGGATCATGTATATCTCTTTTAGAGTCCTCCTTGTTGCCCAGCTTCTCTGGCGGTGGTAATCGCCCTTTATAGACTGGTAATCCTTTGCTCTATGTGTAAAATATATTAACATTGTAATTAGTATTTATGTAATCTAATCAGTGGGTTCCCATCTTAGTGAGCATAAAACCAAAGTAAACATAGAACATAAGAGTGGAGCTACTGCAAAGCAAGGCCTCCCCTGAATGAAGGAGGCTTGTGTATATTCAAAAGTGGCAGGCCCATTCCTGAGCATGCTCAGTTTAAAGTCATGGAGATTAACATGATGGGCAGGATGGGGTTGTGAATTGGGTAGTTTCAGGGTGTGCTAATAGGAGTCTTCCCTGAAGGTGCCTCGGTGCTTAGCAGCCATGCTTAGATCTTAACTCCCAAGCCCAAGGTAGAAAAGAACAGTGTCTTTAACAAATGGAACTTCTGCGGGGCATGGTAGCACTTACCTTTAACAACACTTGGGAGGCAGAGGCAGAGGCAGACAGCTCACTGGGAGTTCCAGGCCAGCCTGTCTGCATAGTAAAACCCCATCGAGAGGAAAAGGGGGAAATTTTTCAATACCAAACAAGCTAAGCCTCTGATGCAAGATAGAGAGATTTTACAGACTTTAATCAACAAGCTCACGTGGCAGCAACACATGCCTACAATCCTAGCACTTGAGAGACTGGATGAGAAAAATCAAAGAGTTCAAGACCAGCCTCAGCCTCAGTTACAGCAACAAGTTTCTGATTTCATGAGACTCAGTCTCCAAAAAAATGAAAGAAAGGAAGGAAGGAAGGAAGGAAGGAAGGAAGGAAGGAAAGGTCATCAGCTGTTAGATGAATTAGTGGGAGAGGAAGTTGGGAGATAAAATAAATGACTTCTTTGCACTGACAGTAAGGCCCCTTCCTGTGCTTTCCTCGGCAGGGGAGAAATATGAACTGCATGCAGGAACCGAGTCCACCCCCAGTGTGGTTGTGCATGTCTGTGAAAGTGAAACTGAAGAGGAAGAAGACACAAAAAACCCAAAACAAAAAATCACTCAGACCCGGCGCCCGGAAGCTCCCACGGCCGCGCTGAGTGAGCAGCTGGACTGTGCACTGTGAACCCAGCCACTGCACCCGTGCCTCCTGCTGCTACTGCTGCACCGGCACTAGAGCACAGCCAGGAGATGCCACTGCATCCATCTGGCAGCTGGGCTAGCTTTGCCAGGCCAGAACATGAGGTGAAATAGCAGATGTGGCCAGCTGTTTGAAATTTTGAACAATGTTCTAAATGGCACTTTAAGTGACAAGGTTAGCCCCCACTGTATGGCATCTGACTCCTCCCTGAGAAACATTAGTTCCCCTGAATGTATAGCTCGTTGGGTACCAAAGGCCAGAACTAGAATCACCCAGTACACTACCATTTTTACAGATGTTAAAAATTAGTCTTACAATTACAGTAATTTGGTGTGGGTGTTTTTTTGTACTGGTGTGGTAGTGTCTATAACAAATACATTGAGCAAAGGCTGAATGTTACTCAATATACATGGTATTTTTTGGCAGGAAAAGAAACCTTAGGTACAAAATCATTTGTGGAGGCCATTTTTCTCCAGTATTTTTCACTAGCCTTGGGGATGAAATGCCAAATGAATGAGATTATCAGATTCAAACGGCATATGCAGATCTGCACTTGACTCTGCTCCATATCCCTCTTACGGTTGGTGGGGGTGGCGCCCAGCGCCCCCCTGCACAGTGCCGCCTCCCCTGCACAGTGCCGCCCTTCCAGGCCTGGGCTCTGTAGACAGGATGTGTCACCTGGAAGCTTGGCTGGTAAGGATACGGAGTTGCAGCCTGTGGAGCGGCAGCTCTTCGGTTAATCTCTTGACCACCCTAGTGCTGGCTTGTCGCTGCTTGAGTTGTTCTGCGCTGTGTGTAGATTTGTGGATAATAGTCACAATCTTAAATTGTAGAAAATAATGATAAGACTTTCTGAAGACCACTTTAAATTCAGGGGAGTTGCTTCATTTTTTTTGTTGTCTTTGAAGACAAGGGTTTCACTTTGTAGCTAGCTGGCCTAACAAACATCCTCTGTGATTAGACTCCCAAGTGCTAGGAATTCAGGGGATGAGCCACCATGCACTTCAAATTTTTCCATTCAAGTATTTCAGCTATTTAGAAAGAAAAAAAAAACAGTACTATTTTTTTTTTTTTTGAAACAAGTTCTCACACTGTAGCCCAGGCTGGCCTTGAGTTCAAGACCATTCTCCTTCCTCAGCCTCTTGAGTCCTGGGATGGAGGTGTAGGCCCCTGCATGCAGTTCATGTTTCCCTCTGTAATGAAATTTTCCACCTGGGCTTGCAGTTGAGATTCAGATAGACCTGTCTCTTACACTTGAAGATGTGTTGAAGTTCCGTGTGTCAGTGCAGCATCACTAATGGGCAGGGGCTACAGTCCCTCTTGCTGAAGGCTCTCCTGCCAAAGAGTGCTATGCTCAGGCAGGTCAGCTGATCCCACTCAGTGTGCCCTTTTATTTTATACATGGCAAGTATCCAGAGATGGCTGGTACATATGAAGGGACTAGACCTAGAACTAAGAACCGAACATGGCAGCTCCAGTAAAAATAGAAAAATGGAGAAATTGAAGCTGTGATGGCCATGTTCTTTGGGTGACAGGTTAGTGCTGAGTGTCTTTTGCGGTAGAATTGATTTCTGAAGATTTAAACTGTATTGCACATGCAAATGTCTTCTAACTTGTTGAAATAGGGTCTCATATAGCTCTGGTTGACATCAGACGTGCTACATCTCAAGGATGACCTTGAACTCCTGCTCCTGCCTCTATCTCCTAAGTGCTAGGGTTGCAGGTGTGCACCACCACACCTAACAACAGCAACAAAAGAAAGAGTTGTCCCTTCCCTCAGATGCTGTCAGCCCTCAGATGCTGAACTCTGTGTGTGTTTGCTGTTGGGAACCCTCTGTTGATTCAATTGAAGATTACGATTCCGTCCACACTGGTTTTCTGGATCCAAATCCTCATCTGTCGGCTTAACTGACAGGCTCTCCTTTGCAGCCAGCTTGACTTTGCAGTTTTGAGCTAAGCAATTAGTTTCTTTTTGTTGCAGGACAGACCCTACCTGCCAGCAAGCAAGTAGATTTTCATCAGTTGGAAATTTTTTGTGCTCCTCATTATGCAATACAGTTCCTAATTTTCCTAAGTGATCAAAACCCAATTTTTAAGTTTGTCTTGGCTTTCATTTTCCAGTGCCAACTTAAGAACATCTCTCTCTTTCTTTTATCTTTTCTCTCAAGACAGGGTTTCTGTTTTAGCTCTGGCTATCCTGGAACTTACTCTGTAGACCAGGCTGACCTTGAACTCACAGAGATCCATCTGCCTTTGCCTCCTGAGCATCGGGAGTAAAGGTGTGCATCACCACCACCTGGCCTAGTCCTTTTTTAAATCAAGAAGTGCAAACTACTCATCTCTTTAATTTTTTTGAGATATTAAATTGAGTATTATGAGGGGGTGTGCAAGGATAAGGGAAGTCATTAAACTTTCCTGAATAGCAAATAATTAACATTTTCCTCTTTTCTGGTATATTATTTCCATAAGACACACTCTAGAAGAAAAAATACCCATCTACCTTTTAATGAAGTCAATTAAAATATCCAGGTGTCTGTTTTTATGCCCAGTCCATGTAGGCATTTTATAGCAAATGAGTCCCATTCTTTTGTTTATTTGTGAAAAGGTCTCGGGTAGCGCAGGTAGAGCTGGTCTCAGAGTTACTGTGTGGCCAAGGATAATCTTGAATTCCTGATCCTACTGCACCCACCTCCGAAGCTCAGACCTATAGATGTTACAGATATGTACCACAGTGAGCAGCTTACCCTTTATCTTCTTTCCGGTTCTCATAGTGGATTTATGCATTTTTTTCTTTCAAATGGAATGTTTTGTTTTGTTTTTGGAGACAGGGTTTCTCTGTGTAACAGCCCTGGCTGTCCTGGAACTCACTCTGTAGACCAGGCTGGCTCACAGAGATCTGCCTGTCTCTGCTGGGATTAAAGGCGTGCACCATGCCCAGCTGAATTATTTCTTAGAATTAACTCTACTAGGAGATTCTGGCATCCCCCTTTGAAATCCCCCTGCTGCTTTTTGGGAGCTCTTTGTCACTTTTCCTTAAGAAATCTGCCATTTGTTCTACAGAAAGAAAGAAACTAAAAGTAACTTTGGCTTCTTCAGAAATCAGAACCTCTCTATGGGAAGCAAGCTCTGAGGAGTGTGAGGAAAGAGAACAGGGCTTTGTGTTAGAGAAAACCCTGTGGAGGGTAATGAAGCCATGACACTTAGTAGGACTGGCCAACAGGACTGCACCAGAGGGGAGGGTAATGAAGCCATGACACTTAGTAGGACTGGCCAACAGGACTGCAGTAGTTTGGCTCATAGATTCTAGATTTTTCCAGTGACTCACCTGGACAACCAAAGATGGATCCACATAGAGAGGTGGAGAGACAGAAGGGGCTGAGGACAGCCCCTCACCCTGGAGAGCTGAAAGTCAGGTAATCTTACTGTGCCCCTCAAACATCATGAAGGGGCCAGGTGTGCCGGAATGTACTTGTAATCCCAGCACTCGGGAGGTGGTGGCAGAGAGTCAGGAGTTCAAGATTGTCTTCAGCTAAATAGTGAATTTAAGGCCAGCCTGGGCTACATGAGGGTATCTCAAAAAGGTGGAGAGGATTACACAGAGAAGACTTTAGGTTCCACATAAAGGTTTACATAGATCATTTTGGCCACTAAATGGGCAGTTTGAGTTGAGGGGACACCAGGGGACAGGTCAGGAGCAGTTTGTCCCGTAAGGGGACAGCTCTTTGCCATCTTCATGAATAGAGACTAGTGAGGTTTAAAGGTTTATTTTTATTTATGTGTCGGTGTACATGTGCGCGTATGGGTGTCCACAAAGGCCAAAACGGGGCCTTGGGTCTCCGGGAACTGGAGACAGTAGTGAGGTGCCTGAAGTGAGTACTAGGGACTGAACTCTCGTCCTCAAGAGCCTGAAGCACTCTTAACCTGCTGAGCCAACTCCCCAGCCCCCTCCTGCCTTTCTAAAATGTCATGATTATGGATGGCCATGGTGGGAACACCTTTAATCTTAGCACTGCAGGTGGATCTCTGAATTCAGTGCCAGCCTGGGCTACACAGTGAGACGCTGTCTAAAAAAGCAAATCAGACCAAACAAACAAAAGTCATGATTATCAAGTGAAATGCTTTAACTATCTTACAATTAGTGTGGCTGACCTGGCACCAGACTTACATGGGAGTGCACAGCACAGTGGGGACTGTGGTTGGGCTTCCCTGTCCTTCCATGTCTTTTCATTGCATTGAGCTCTAAAATATGGAAGATGCTTCTCCCTGTCACACAGAGAAGAGCAGGAGGCCCAGCGGCGACTTGGGAGCTTTTAATCAGCTTGATCGTGGCTTATGTTTTTACACCATTGAGCTGTGGGGTTAGAATCTGCTTACATAATGTTACCGTGGTCACTAGCGGTTGTGTTAGCACTTTATGTGGGCTTCCCTGGATAGTCACATTCGTGCAGTTAAAATGTAAACAGTCATAAGAGGACCTGGGAAGAGAATGAGGCCATGTGCATGCTGTGGGAGGGCCCTCTCCCTCTGTGCTTGGAAAATCAAGTTCTATTCAAGACTAACGATGGACGTGGGCTTTATATTTTATGTAAACTAATTTGTAGACTTGAGGATTTATTTTTTAAAAGGAAGGCTTTATGTATGGCTATCAATGGAAGCGTATGTGATTCTTTGGTGCCTGGGGTTCATGCCTGCCAGCCTCCCCTCTCTTCTGTAGAGCCCTGGCCTTCACCTGTCACACAGGTGCTTGGTCACCTTTCCTCCTCTGTCTGTGTTTCTTAATACATCTGTGTTAAAGGAAACAACTGGGTGTGCTGGAACAGGCCTGTGATCTCAGCTTTCAGGAGGTCGAGACAAAAGGATTGAGAGACTGAGACTAGCCTGGGATACAAGCAAAACCCTGTCTCAAAGGGGATGGGAGGGTGCTTTCCTTTTCTTGGTGTGACAGTATAGAGGAACAGCAATCCTGGGAAAATAATTTGCTTCTAACCAAGAAGTCCATGGGAAGAGTAAGGTGTGTGGACCCTGACCAACCACATGACAAGTGACTGTTGGTGTTTTACACTCCCCTTGGAGTGTGGGTCTCCAGAGCTATCCTCATCCTCTGTGTGCCCATTTCCTTCACCCTTGAGCAGAGCAAATGTGATAGTTGAGAGTCCGGGTTACCAAATGTAGTCAAGCATGGTGACATATGCCTGTCATCCCAGCGCTTGGAAGGCAAAGATAGAAGGATTGTTGCAAGTTTAAGGAGTAGCCTGGGCTATGTATCAGACCCTATCTCAACAACAGAAGGGTAACTGGGTGTACACACAGCCCAGGAGCAGATAAGAGCAACCGTTGGGTTTCTGGCCAGGACTGGGAACTTGTCCTGTTCCCTGTAAGGTTTCTGGTCAAGGCTGAGAAGTGACCTCGGGGAACTGAATAAGCAGAGGAGCCCTGCTAACTTAGATCTGTGCTTTCCCTCAGAACCCTGCAAGTCTTGAAGAGGGTCCCATGACCCTTGGAGCTCTCACCTGGCCCTGACTGGGTGTGCTTCCTTGTCACAAGGAGGGTTTATTTCCTATCTATGCAGATAATTCGTGTTTTTCTGTCTTGTTCCCTGTTGGTCTCCAGTCTTCCTAAGTCAGATTGAGGACTAAGGAGAGACAACAGGTGTCAGTCCTGTGGCTATGCCACACCCTCTGCTTTCAGCCCCTGAGTATTTATTCCTGTCCCTTGTAAACCATTTGTATCTTTGAAGCGTGAGAAAGCCTTCACTGCCATTGCACTTTGTTCTTCATAACCAAACCTGCGGCTGGATTTATGCCTGCATCTGGACATGTCTGTAATCTCCCTGGTCCTGCTGTGCACTGTAGTGAATACTCGATGCACTTGTGAAAATGGTCAGTGATTTTCGTCCGTGTGTCCCATGTTTGACACACTAGTGCTTCACATGACGGACCATATAGTTCATTATCAGCTTCAGCTGTCCTGTGTTCTGAGGATCTCTAAACATTCCTTGTCCTGTGAGGTGACAGACGCAAAATGTAATTTGGAAGACACTTTGCAGTTACCTGTAACAAGTTGTTTTGATGTTGAAACTAATAAA